TCCTGGCCTGATGATGTTGATCTTCTGTGCTGGGCCATCCTTTTGGCCAGTGGCTGTTTTGTTTCCCCGATGTAAGACTGATCCTGACACTGAACAGCATACACAACATTGCTCTGTTTGTGCCGGGGGACTGGATCTTTGGGATGAACCAGTCTTTGCCGTAATGTATTTTGGGGTTTAAAAGCCACTGGGACGTTATGTTTTTGACAAACAGATCAGTTCAGTTCTGCAGAAAAGTTTTTTCCAACTGCGGCAGGTAGCTAAGCTCAAGCCAGTGTTATCCAGACCCAACCTTGAAACATTAGTCCATGCCTTCATCACAACCCGCCTGGACTATTGTAACTCACTCTATGCTGGGGTCAGTCAGGCGTCCATTTCTCGTCTCCAGCTCGTCCAAAATGCAGCTGCTCGGCTGTTAGCTGGTACACGTAGGTCTGAGCACATCACACCTGTTCTGTCCTCCCTTCACTGGCTTCCTGTGCGATCCAGAATCGACTTCAAGATTCTCCTCCTGACATATAAGTGCCTAAATGGCCTCGCACCCCTCTACCTCTCCGAGCTCCTGGAACCATATGTTCCGTCTCGGGCCCTGAGATCATCGGACCAGCTTCTCTTGGTCGTTCCAAATTCACGCCTGAAGCTCCGAGGGGATCGAGCTTTTTCAGTCAGAGGTCCCAACCTGTGGAACAACCTGCCCCTCAACATCAGGCAGGCCTCCTCCCTCCTGATGTTCAAATCCCTCCTTAAAACGCACCTGTTTGCTCTGGCGTTTAATACTGTGTGAGTTGGTTTATTTTGTTCTGTGTACCTCATTTTAAACTCTGTTGTTTTATGATTGACGTTTATTTTTAATGCTTGTTTTTCCTTAGTGTGATCATTAGTGTGTGTTATTGCTCCAGTAATTTTAATTCTGTATGATGTTTTTGTTTTGCTGCCTATGTTTTGCTACATTTCTGTTAAGCACTTTGATAACAGTTTATCTGTTTTAAATTGTGCTCTACAAATAAAGATGACTTGACTTGACTTGACTTATGTTTAGAAAATAAACGTCTCAGTTTCTCTGATACTCCCTCAACATACGGAATGACCACTGGTCTGGGTCTGGGTTCCTCCTTTTCACCTGATGGCTGACTGGAGTCCTGTTTGGGTTTCTTCTCTGCTTTCAGGAAGGCCCAGTTAGGATATCCACATTGCTCTAGAGCCTGTCTTGTGTGGGATTTCTCCTTCTGCCTGGCTCCTGAGCTAGTGGGGACGCTGTCTGCTCTGTGATACAGAGTCCTGATGACTCCCAACTTGTGCTCCAAAGGGTGATGGGAGTCAAACTGCAAATACTGGTCTGTGTGGGTGGGTTTGCGGTACACCTCAGTTTGCAAATGTCCTCTATCAGAGACTGAGACCTCACAGTCCAAGAAAGCCAACCTGTCATTTTTTACATCTTCTCGTGTGAACTTGATATATTTATCCACAGAGTTGATGTGGTCAGTAAAATGTTGGACTTCCTGAGATTTAATTTTAACCCAGGTGTCGTCAACATACCTGAACCAATGACTTGGTGGTGTCCCTGAAAAGGACGTCAAGGCTCTCTTTTCTACCTCCTCCATGTACAGGTTGGCAACAATAGGAGAAACTGGAGACCCCATAGCACACCCATGTTTCTGCCTATAATATTGCTCCCCATATGTGAAGTAGGTTGACTGCAGGCACAGTTTCAAGAGTTGACACAGTTGTTCTGTTGAATGCTGATGGTCCTTCTTGAGCATGTGATCAGCTGGTTTTGGTTGTCAGCAGCAAAACTGGTTGATCCACCCTGAGACGGTGCTATTTAAGAGACTGAGCTGAATACAGCTCCTCAGACTGAGGAAGTCTCTCGGATGAGAGACGAAACGTTTCTACATTTTTTGTTGATTTGCTTTGTTTTGTTTTTTTGAATGTCCAGAGGACCAGATTTAACTTTTTTAGAGTTTTGTGTTGTGTTTCCTTGACTTGATGAAGCCTTCTGGATGGAAGGTGAAATGTTTCAGCACACACAAAAAAAAGAAACTGTCCAGATGACCTGACTGAAAAATGTTGGATTAAAACTGAATAGTTTTCATTTGATATTATTTCTAACATATGATTCTCGACCTGCCATTGTGTATCTGTTCCTCCTTCCTTTCTCTCAAACCCAACTAGTCGAAGCAGATGGCCGCTTGTCCTGAGCCTGGTTCTGCTAAAGGTTTATTCCTCATAAGGGAGTTTTTCCTTTCCACTGTCGCCTTCATGCTTGCTCAAGATGAGAGCCTGTGATAAAGTTAAACTCAAAGCAGTCTGCTCCTCAGATAACTAATGTTAATAACTTACTTTTTATATGTAAGAACGTTTCTGTTCAGTGACGTGAGATGACTTCTGTTGCGACTTGGCGCTATATAAACAAGCTGACTTGAAATGAATTAAAATCATGAATATATCTTTAGAGGCATCTGTAAAAACAAATCAAAACAAAAACATGGACAGTCACCAGCTAACCCTTACATTCTTTCATTATATACTGTACTTGTTTTTATTTTTTATCTAATATAATTGTTTACTTTAATATGCAGAATTATGCCATTGTTTTGTCCACACAGTTTTAATTGGAAATACATAATGTGTAAGTTGCTTTTCTTAAATCAGAAAACGTTTCTCAAGTAACAATTATTGGAACACAGTTATAATTCCTTTAGTTCAGGTTACCAGAGTCATGTGAGGAATGTGAGAACTTTATATGTAGGAAAAATAATGCACAGTAGGGACACTCAATTGTGTGTGCTGTCTCAGAAATCCATCCTGTCGTGCATAAGAGCTCAAACTAAACACACATTCTCCACATGCATGTTTTTGCAGATGTAATGTTATCAGTGAATGGGCTGTTAGTGCTGCAGCATGACCAGTTTACACACTAACCGTCATGAAGAGAGAGCTGATAGTGAAGAGTAGGGAAAAAAAAAACTTGTAAAGTATCAAATTACTGGAAAGATAAACACAATGAGACGGAATTAAAATATTTTCTCCTAAAAAGACTGGCTGCTTCTCCTTAGCAAGTGTAGAAGAAAAACAAAAATATATATGAAAAACATAATTAATGAGCGTCTGCATGCTTTTTTTTTTGTCAAAGACAGGTTCATAATCATATTAAAGACAGATGTAATGTTGGGAATGACTGTCAAATTGCAAAGCAGGAAAAAAAATAGCTTGGTTGACAATACCACCATGTAGTAGCTATGGAACATAATAACACTGTGGAAAATAAAAGACATATATTACTTACTGTACTGACAGTTCCTCCCCATGTACTCTCCTGGACAGTCACAGGAATAGTTGGCGATCAAATCAGTGCAAAGACCTCCGTTCTTACATGGGTCTCTTTCACATTCATTGATATCTAGAAGAAGAAGGAAAAAAAAAAAGAAAATATTATTAATCATTTGATGAGGGTTTATATTTAACTGGGAAGCCTGCATCCCATCTAAAGAAGTTATTGTTCTGTGTGTTTTGATTTAAGACTCATAACGATACCTTCAAGAACATAAGACTCCTGAAACAAAAACAAGCAACTCATAACTGATACAATATTTATGCAAGAGCAAAGTCACTGTTTTCAGAACCTAGGAGTAATATGTACTGTATGTTGATATTATCCTTCATAATGATCATATAACATTTTGGAACACAGTTACCTAGCATAAAATGTATTTATTAGATAAAACCATATACAAACCCTTTAAAATGTAATGATAAAAAGAACAAAAACAAATCCATTGGCTTGGTTTCTGAACTGATCTGGTGCTGCTGAACTAACCTTTGCTGAAAGAAAAAACAAAACATGATGTGACAACGATGTTTTTACAGCTTTTTGGAAGAATCTAAATATTCTCCTTCCATTTGATCTAGTGCCACAGAAACAGTAGCTTCATTTTGTATAACGATTGATTCAAACATCTCAGAACCAAGGTAGCAGAACTACAAATGTTGCACATGTTTATAATCTATTATTATAAATACAGTAAAAAAAAAACTACCTAACATTAGATTAGAAAAAAAAAAGATTGGGAACATTAGAATAAGGCTCCCCTTATAGATGTCTTATAAATAGTTTATATATATGTTATTAATTACTCTATAAACACTTTATAAATCATAAATAAATGCTTATTATGCATTAAGGGTGACAGACAGACAAAACTGACCAGTTTCTTGACAGATAGCGAGCCAGATCTTTTTACCTATATATTTAATCTAGAGTTGTTATATTAAACACTTCAGACTACGTTACTACCTTGTAAACGCAATGAGAATTTGTAAACCTATTTATTTAGCATATCATTTGTACTTTATCACTACATTATAAGTATCTAGAACTAATACACTGCCTGGCCAAAAAACAAGTTTCCACTAAAAAAAGGTCACACACTCATATTCCGTTGGACCACCTTTAGCTTTGATTATGGCATGCATTTGCTGTGGCATTGTTTGGATAAGCTTCTGCAATGTCACAAGATCTATTTCCATCCAGTGTTGCAATAATTTTTCACCATGATCTTGCATTGATGATGACAGATTCTGACCACTGCATCAAGCCTTCTCCAACACATCCCAAATATTCTCAATGGGGTTAAGGTCTGGACTCTGTGGTGGCCAATCCATGTGTGAAAATGTCTCATGCTCCCAGAACCACTCTTTCACAATCTAAGCCTGATGAATCCTGGCCTTGTCATCTTGGAATATGCCCGTGCCATCAGGGAAGAAAAAAATACAATGATGGAATAATCTGGTCATTCAGTATATTCAGGTAGTCAGCTGACCTCATTCTTTGAACACATACTGTTGCTGAACTTAGACCTGACCAACTGCAGCAACCCAAGATCATAGCACTGCCCCCACAGGCTTGTACAGTAGGCACTATGCATAATGGGTGCATCACTTGACCTGCCTCTCTTCTTACCCTGATACACCCATCACTCAGGAAGAGGGTAAATCTGGACTCATCAGACCACATGACCTTCTTCCATTGCTCCAGAGTCCAATCTTTATGCTCCCTAGCAAATCAAAGCCTTTTTTTCCAGTTAGCCTCACTGACTAGTGGTTTTCTTAAGCTGTTCAGTCCCAATCCCTTGAGATCCCTTTGCATTGGGCATATGGAAATGCTCTTCCTTTCACTATTAAACATAGCCCTGAGTGCTACTGTTGTTTTTCTTCGATTCGATTTCACCAAAAGTTCAAGTGATCGCTGATCACGATCATTCAGGATGTTTTTCCGACCACATTACTTCCTCAAAGACAATGTGTCCCCACTATCCTTCCAGTTTTTAATAATGTGTTGGACAGTTTTTAACACAATTTTAGTCTTTCTGCAATCTCTTTAGAAGTTTTCTCTGCTCGATGTCAATGATTTGACCCTTCTCAAACAGACTGACATCTTTTCCTCAACCACGCGATGTGTCTTTCAACTTGGTTGTTTAAGAAATGAAAAGCAACTCATTGCACCAATCAATCAACCTTTATTTAGACAGGTAAATCCCATTGAGCCTTGAGGACTCATTTACAAGAGAGACCTGATTTCAACAAAGAAAGATGACAACAAAGGACAACAGCAACAACAATAAACAATTATAAAAAGTTATAATAAAGTTTTTTTGTTTTTTTTACAAATAGGATGGCTAAAAGGAAAAATGGAAAAAGGAAAAGGTAACAAAAAAAACAAAAAACAGCTAGATTCTAAGGAGAATGTAGAAAACTAAAAACAGGAACAAGTCTGCATTGGTCCCTGCCAGGAGTCCAACAGATTCTTAAAGCCACTCAAGGTCGAGAGCTTCAAATCTTTTTGTAAGATATTCCAGGAAACAGGAGTGGAGTAGGACAAGGCCCTTTTGCCTAGTTCAGTCCTCATTGAGGGAACACTGCAGGTAATAATGTCCTGAGAGTGCACACTGTAGCTGCACTCACGCAGAGACATGTAGGAGGAGATGTATGAAGGCAGCAGACCAAGAAGTGATTTAAAGATGAAAATGTACCAGTGAGAGAATCTGCATGAAGTTAATGATATCCAGTTAACCAGTGAATACAGGGTGCAATGGTGGGTACGATAATCACAGCCAGTTATGAATCTTAGTGCACCGTGATAGACAGCATCCAACATCTGCAGGGTGCTTGTAGGAGCGTTCATGTAAATTATGTCACCATAATCAATTGAGGGAAGGAAAGTCACAGATACAAGGCGTTTTCTAGCATTCAGAGTAAGACAGGATCTGTTTCTGAAAAAGAAACCCAGTTTAACTTTCAGTTTCTTTACCAAGTTTTCCACATGGAGCTTAAAAGAGATATGTGAGTCGACCAAGATACCCAACTATTTATAGGAATCAACAAACTCAATGGGGACACCATTTGAGGATAAAATTGGAGGAAGAACTGCTGGGACCAACTTCCTATTTGAAAAAAGCATCCCTTTGGTTTTGTCGGCATTTAGGACAAGTTTGAGGCGGAACAAATCAGTCTGGATGATGTTGAATGCAGATTTCAAAAGCTGGAAAGCCTTAGCAACAGTTTTAGCTCGACAATAGACAACTGTGTCATCAGCATAGAAATGTATGGATGCATTAGGGATGTTTTTACCTACATTATGTATGTAGAGTGTAAAGAGGGTGGGTCCTAAGACTGAGTTTAACACCAGTTGGGGTTAAATAATTTGTTGCTAGCTGAAAGATAATTACCCATGCAGTAATTAGCCAATAGGAGGCTCGTACCTACTTGTGTAGTTAAATCCAGATGGCAACATTTTCTTTTTGGTCAGGCAGTGTAATATACCCTAAAAATAGGTTTATATATGCTTATAAGGTCATAACTTAGTCTGGAATATTTAATATAACAACTCTAGATGAAATATATAGGTGAACAGATTTGGCTCACTATTTGGCAAGAAACTGGTCAGTTTTGTCTCTCAGTCATCCTTAATCAATGCATCATAAACAATTATTAATGATTTATAAAGTGTTTATAGAGGCATTAATAACAGTATCTATAAACTATGTGTTAGCCATCTATAAGGGGAGACTTAATGTAAAGTGGTACCCTTTGAAAAGACTATATATAAGTTGTGTGAGGCTCAAGGTTCTCTTTGGCATGAGGAAGTTGGAACTCAACTGGATGTTTGGAAAGCTTTGAAAATGTGAAAAATTAACTCATCAGTGTAAAACTGTATACCTGGTAAGTTTTGTAATGTTGAAAATCCATCTTTTCCTTAGCCATAAATGTCTCTTGGTCAAGGTTTTTGAACATGATAGTCACTGAGCTGAGTGACTAAAGGCAGGAGCATCTTTAATTTACAAAATAAGATACTACTAAAGAATAGAAACTGCTAACTAAATAGAAAGAAATAGAAATAAATTAGAGGAAAATGTGCAATAAAGAGGAAAGAGAGAGAAAGATGATTTGTGATGTATCTGTGGGAGTCCTGTGAGACAACCACACTCAGATGAAATGACCTTTTGATAAAACTGTTCTGCAAAAAGCTTTCTGAGGAGATGATGTAAAAATTAAGTCAAAAAGGCTGTGCTGCAAAAAACAAATGATGAGTGCCAAAAGTCTATAATTTTAGTAGTCAGCATGCCATCTTCTGCCTTAAAGAGCACAATAAATATCAGACCTGCACACAGTCACTTGTCAAAACCACACTTGAGAAAACACACTAAAACACTGAACTAGTCCATGCAAGTTTCAGACATTTTTCTTAAAATCTTACCATGAAAATCAGGACAAAGAATATTAAAGCATTTGTATTGCCAATGAACTGTGAAGTTTTATGCATCTGGGATTTACTGTTAGAAGTCTGTCTTGGATTTGCCCCAATGGTTAGAGACTGACTGTTGAGGCATGTTGGTTTATTGTTTCCACAAACTGTCTGAGATTAATTTAATGTGAAGTCTTTGAAGCAGCATGTCCCAGTTTGAGCCCATTCCCCACCTCCTCTTTTATCAACGTTTTTATTGTCCACTGGGGGTTACTGAGCTCATGATGTGAATAATGAGAACTTGTCTGAGAAATGTGCAATTGTCACATTTTCAGCACAATATTTAGAGGATGTTACGTGTTCCATCAATGATCTAATTTAAAGTTTATTGAAAGATAATTGCTTTATAATATTCATTTGTGTTTTTGATAATTTCAAGCTGTTATGAAAACACTGATAGAAATAAAAGACCTAGCATTCCTTAAAAGAATGCGTGCTATCTTCTACCTTTCGTGCCATGTATTTATCGACTAGCATTCATTCATTCATTCATTAACTTTCCCTACTTCTGCCTTCCTGGACAGGTCGCATCCCGTCGCAGGGCCACATAGAGACAAACAACCATTCTCACTTTCACTCACGACTAGGGACAATTTTGA